TCCCCCACTTTCCACCAAACACAGTGAGAAAGGAATGAAAAGAAGAGAGATCCTTGGAATAATGCTTATAAATACAGCTTCTCACCAGCAGCTTGTGTTGAAATTCCTTTAGACACAGCAGCTGATATTGGTGCTGGTGCGATGTTGGTAACATGTCCCCCTGATGGTACAGCTGCAGATACTGTCCCTGATGGAGCAAGTGTGATTGGCATGTGAACAGGGGACTTGTTAGGTGCTAAATGCCTCTGTAGAGTTACAGTCTGGGTCACACCTGAAGCCACTGAGGGGAAATTAAAAAAAAATATAGAGGGGTCAGTTTTGAAGACATGATGAAAGATCTTCATAACAGGTTGCTCTGTTATCCTGAATGCCTTCCTCTTTGAAGCCACAGTTTAGGCTTGATGTGCAAAATACTCCCTGACAAGAACATCTAGGGGTCTAATCCAACATCCAACTTTCTGATTCTGTCTTAATTGAAGGGATATGAACCTGAACAATGGCACACTTAACATTGTTTATATGTGTGGGCTGCCATGAGACACTATTTTCACATTGTCTCTTTCTGCCCAAAAGTATAAATACATACCAGCATGCTAACCTGTTGCATATTTTCATCTAAACTAAGTTGCTCTAAAATTTCACTTTCTATCTCCATGTGATTTCTGCTGTTACTGACAGGTTATTCTGTATCAGTTGAAGTTTAGGGTTTGTTTTCGCATTTATTTTCCATGTCATACAAGATGTTTAGGTAAAAAAACAGAGAGAGAAGTCTGGGAATTTGTCAGCCATTGTACAAATCTGACTCTGTGAATCTGTACTCTGATATAGCATGCTGTTTCAGCCAACAAGAACATGCATTATATAGCAACTTAGCCACAAACCTTGCATGGGTCTGTTTGTTAGAGTAACTGTGGGTTTAATGCCTTGTCCTGGTTGTGCTGGGGCGACAGTTCTGACTGCTATCTGCTGTCCAGGTGCTAGAGTCTGTGTGACTTGAAGAGTGGTAGGTTGAGGTGACTTCACTGTACGTTGAACTGTAATTCAATTTATCATAGAAATTATTGTTAATAAAAAATTTTATATGATGTTTATATTTGAAAATGTTTTATCTTAGTTTAGAATATTATCCCACCTTAAATTTTTGTTTACTTAATGGTTTGTATCTTATTTTTCTGCAGTTAAAATGCAAAATGAGGCAGAAATTAAAGTGCACTGTTTTCAACAAGTTTTAAAAGAAAATTGCTAAGAAGCTCATTCTTTTTTTCAACACAAGCCATATTCCATTTCAGAAATGAAGAACTGAGCAACAGAACCAGCAAAATTTCAGCCAATGCTTAAGTAGTCAAATCTTATTGTATCTGAGAATACTGAAATTATGAACAGAAAACAAAATTCTTTACATGAACTGAGTGAAGGAGAAAATCTGGCCCACAATAAAAGAAATTGGAAATACCAGTAACCTCACCATTTTCTGAGTTTGAATATGCACAACTTGAGTTTCTAAAGCTGACTTTTTGATCATGAGCCCCTAATAAACTACTTGGTCCAACAATTTTCACATAAAATGAATATGGTAGCACCAAATGTGAATAAACCTTCCTTACTTCCATCTGCAGTTCTCTGAAGCTGTTGAATGGATGCTGGATTAATGACCACATTTTGAGGCTGAATTGGTTGCAAAGTAGTCGTCTGAGGGAGAATAGTCTTTGCGGCCAGTGAGGCCTGACCAACAGGGATTCCACCAGTGACAGTGGTTGCAGGAAGGACAGTAGTCTGTTGGTTTGGTAATGCTGTGGTTGCAGGAGCAATCTTTGTCATCTGCATGGTGTTGGGTGCTGCCACATGAGTAGGTACCAAGACCTGAGTGACAGGTGTCATAACAGTTGTTGTTCTCATCACAGCTATCTTGCCTTCCTGGATTGCCTTTTGAAAACAATTGGTTTAGAAAAATATCAAGTTTGATATGTTTTTGTTTGCAGTTCTTTTTTCTGATCCCAAGGAAGAATCTCACTCACCACTCAGACATTGTATCTTGATCACCAGGTTGGGTGCAGTTTGCATACATAATACATACTATGCACCCTTCAGATATTTACTCCTTTTCAGAGGACAATTTTTTCATTCATGATTGAGGTTCTTACGGGGTATAGTTCTCTTTGTATGGAGATGATTCTTGGGATTTGAAACTGACATGTAAGGAATTTTGCTAAAAAATCAACAAGTAAATGCTGTTGGAAAATGTTTGGGCACATCTGATCAAGGTTAGATAAAGCAAAGTGGTTTGGATCCAAGTTCTTTTCAAGTTTTTGGGCCAAAGATGTCTATGCCTATGGTCCAAAAACCTTGGTAAAAACATGGCTCCACACCCATCCTAAATAATTCAGTATGCACAGTTAGCAAAACTTTGGATCTGTGGTCATTTCTAAATGCGTCCATATGCAATTTTTTCTGCTGTGTAAACAACCTTTTAAAAGGCGATTTTTATTCAGTTCTACAATTCTAAAGCCAATCAAAGCAATCACAATGGCTAATTAGACCAAAGGCAAGTACAACAAGGGACCAACTACAGTTCAAACTCAAAATATTCAACTAGTACCTGGAAGGGGAAAATGTTGGTAGTCACAAATCAAATAACTACAGAAATACCAGTCCTTGAAAATGTTTTCTTACCTTTTCATTTTCTGCCTTCAGTCTACGAAAAAGAACCTTAAGCCGTTCAACTTCCTTTGCTTGCTCTGGAGTGTACGGACCTAGGCCATATCCCTGAGGAGAAAGCAATACACCCTTGAGGTATGTGCTGATATTTACAACATATTTGACAAGCAAGCAATATAATGAGCTAAGCTTAGTTTGAAGCCAAGTTCATCAATAAGTCCTCTGAAGCTTTTCAATGGTAGAGCATCTGTCTGAAAAATTCTTCAATCTTAGTCTAAAACTTGATATTTCTAGTGCCACACATGCAACAAATGACCACATGTAACATCAGACATGAACAATGATTTGTAAACTATCAATCTGTCACATCCTAACATCGGCATACATATTCTCTTTACTGTTCTTCCAACATTTCTTTTGTGCTGACAAGGAGAATTTGTTTAACAATCAAGAGCTTGTTTAGTTGGTGATCAGTTCCTTCATTCTTGTGACCTTATTGTGTGATTCAGGGGTGGTATTGTAAGGAGAGATTATATGCTGCTCACTGTCAAAGGGTCACACTTCCATATAAACTTTACACTGATTTTGATATCTTGCAAAATTAACGGCAATTTTGATTTCGAGCGTCAAGTAAAACCCTAGTTTTGGTTTGTATAACTGCAATTTCATGTAATATGATTAACTCCCTTCTTATCAAAACTAACAAGTTCAACAACTTCATCTCCCTAATCAACAATATCTTCATTGTTCTGAAGTGATTTCGAAAATATAGTATCCCGAATATTTACATGTATCTGTTCATGCCGACGAAAATTGTACGGAACCCCTCAGATAACCCGACACTGATATTTACTGAGTTCTTCCTTGTCTAGTTAGGCTGGAAACTAAATTCCTATTTCCTTAGCTAAACATAGCCCACTTTCGTTAAAATATACTGCCCAATAATTGCCCCTTCAATTAATGATAACTAAGCTTGAATGCAAACCTGGATTCTCTTTTGAATATCTTGCAACACCTCGACGATACTTTTCTGCTGTCCAGTCTTTGGAGAGGACGAAGCAGTCGTGACAGTTGGTAGCGACTACCGATAGAAAACGAAATCAAACATGTCAAAATTGTAAAACGATCTATCAATCTAACAATCTAAGAGAACGAGCACACACAAAGCTTCCTACTCACCGCCATGATAGCAAGTGGTTACCAAGCTAATTTTAAAAGGCGCGGCTGCCAAGGCGTAGTAGCGAAAGTAGCCATGTTTTACTCTGGCAGTGGGTAACCTTCGTTGTTTTAACTTGATTTTCAAATTTTCTCCGTTTTGAAAATTTGAATTTATCACAATGTCTCGTCAATCGACTGTTCGTGCCGACAATAGAAAAGTGGTGAGTTGTTTGGTTCGTTTGAAGGCTTCAAAACCAGTGTCATGAAGAGCCAGGATTATTAACGAAGGCAATTTGATTTTCACTCTTATCTAGAGTGCAGAGCTGTTTGTCCTGACACACGGAGCACTTGTAGCACAGCTGGTTAAAGACTATGAGAGTGATGAAGAAGTGAACAAGCAGCTTGACAAAATGTGAGTAGTTATTATATTCAAAGAAACTTCTACAGAGATGTAATGTAAGCATGGGAAAGAAGCTTTACGTTGTTAACCCCTGAACTTTTCGAAGTGATTTACATAAGACTTCTCCCTACAATATCCATACACTATCCAGCAAACAGGTAATGAGAATACTCCAACTCATCAGATTGAATTGTTGTCTTGATTGTATAATAACTTCTCATCACTAATCTACATGTAAAATAGAAATGTGTAGATGCCAGAGGGGAGAATTAACAACAAAATCTTGGGAGTGAAAGGTTTAAGTTATTACTGTGTAAATCATTCATTACAATGGTGACAGACTACCCTGGGAAAGTGCAAGTTGCAAGGGATTTAGAAGGATGAGGTAGTTAACAGCTTCACTGCATTTAGCTCGTTAGCTCGTTAAAATCCACACTTCCAGAAATTATCTCCTTTCATTATCTCCTTTTTTTCTCTCTAAGTGTCAAGGAGTATTGCTACTTGCTGTGGGTGGTATATAGGTTCAATGTATGTCACTACCTTCCCTTACCTAGTAATTAATCAGTTCTCATTATAGTTTGCTGGGTTCTGTCATTTTGTACTTATAGGTGGAGAGAGGTAACATGTCTTGCCCAGGTTTACAGTCAAGTTGCCTGAGAGTTATCTCGCCCGTAGTCATGTCACCTGAAACCTGAGTCATGTTGCCTGAAATTCTAGTGATGTTGCCTGAAAAAAAAAAGTCAAGTCGCCCAAAGAAACAAATACTGAAAAGATCAGAATTTCACACTATATAAATAGGCAATAAAAATGATAATTTTTTATCACTAAAGTGATAGCCCCCCCTGTTGTTTGTTTCTAACAACAAAGGGAAATGTTGTTCGTTTCCAACAACAAAATGAGACATTGAGAAACTTTATCTTGGTTTCTAACAATACCATGAAGACTTTGACTACACAGAAATCGATTGTATGGTTAGAATTGAAATCTGTTTGAGTAATGACTCTAAAAAAACATTATTTGTTTCTAAGAACAAAATGGAGCATTGTTTGTTTAGTATGTACTTGTTTCTTACTCACTGACCTTTCATAAGCTTGAGAAACTTTTTCTTGGTTTCTAGCAAAGCCATGAAGACTTTGACTACACAGAAATCGATCATATGGTCAAAATCGAGGTCTTTGCAATCCTCTGGTCTGAGATGCTGGTGCACTATGTTAGCTGCCCAGATGTTTTAGTGTGGTTTGGGTAGCTTCCCTTTCTTGTTAGAAACAAACAATGCTTTTAGAGTCGTTACTCAAACATATTTCAAGTCTGACCATACAATCAATCTCTGTGTAGGCAAAGTCTTCATGGTGTTGTTAGAAACCAAGATAAAGTTTCTCAAGCTTACGAAATGTCCGTGAGTAAGAAACGATTACATACCAAACGAACAACACTTCATTTTGTTGTTAGAAACAAACAATGTTTCCCTTTGTTGTTAGGAACAAAAAACACTTTTAGAATCTTCATTTTGTTTTCAGAAACAAAGAGCGCTTTTATTAGTGATAAAAATTTCTCAACTTTATTTCCTATTTCAACGTTTCCCTTTGTTGTTAGGAATGAACAACGCTTTAAGAATCTTCATGGTGTTGTCGGAAACAAAGAGTGCTTTATTGCCTATTTACAGTCTGAAATTCTGATCTTTTTAGCATTTGTTTCTTTGGGTGACTTGACTTTTTTTTTTCTGACAACACGACTCAGGTTTTGGGCAACATGACTTTGGGCAACATGACTTTCAGGCGACTTGACCAGTTCCCCTTGTCCAAGAATGTAACACATTAAAGCATGTCACACCTTAGGCCTGTAGCTTTCATTCTGGGCTCCAGGGGCCTGTTTAGTGTAAGACTTGTTAATTTAATAGGCCTGAGAAGCAGATGTTGTTGGCTGTCTTTCATTTGAGATCAGGATTTTGGCAAATGTAAAATTCAAACAATGAAGATAACAGAATGAGAAACAAGATGGACTGGTGTTTGAGCAAAGACTTACATTGTAATTTGGTCAAATTAGATTTAGAAATATTACATCAGGCCTTTAATGTTCCCTGCAGTTTTGAGAAACAGGTCCTAGAGCATTAAGCATAAGGACCACATGCTCCGTAAAATGAGCAACACTCAATTTACTTAAGAAATTTAAAGAGACCACAGCAAATTAACAAGTGAAGTTAAAATAGGAGGATTTCAACCTCCTTACTGGACTTATCAAACTTTGTTTTTCCCTTATTACTTTGGAAATGCACTTATAGGAAATAGACACCTTAAATAGATGGAATACTTTAGTTTGTAATGCAGAGACATGTATCAATCAAAGAAATTACTCTGTATTAGGTTAAGAAACGATGAAAGTGAGACCAATGACAAAGTCGGTCAAATATCAAACTTACATTTTACCTAGGAATCTTGCGATACTCTTAAGTCATTCAGTTTGTTTCCTAATGTCAAAACTATCTCAAAACTGAAAATGGAACATAGTGTTGAATTAGAAATTTAAAAAATTTGCCATCTTTGTTCACATTCTTTAGACAATGCAAAGTTTGGTCATTTCATATTGATTTTGCAAAGAAATTTGCAAAGATTTATAACGCACCTGTACAGCCATTGTTCTGCTTATTAAACCTTTCCTTTAGTGAACTTCCCATTGCCATTGCCATCGTGGTTTTCTTAAATTCCATATTTTCCCAAAGAAGGAAGTGTGAATAAGGTGATTATTTTCTTTATAGGGGTTATAATATTGGCGTGCGATTAGTAGAGGACTTCTTGGCAAGATCCAATGTTGGAAGGTGTCATGACTTTCGAGAAACTGCCGATGTTATTGCCAAGGTTAGTTAAAATTTCTTGAAAAAAGTTTCATGAACTTCTCTACCTAAGAGTGCAGACCACATGAAAGTGATAGAATGATTTCTGGCAACATTTCTAATTGTCAGGTCTTATTTCACCTGAGGGACACTAAGTGTAGCTTAAAATGTTTTTGGTGAGTCAGGACTCACAAAATACGAAAACCAGAGAGAGTTGTCTGAGGTGGAAGTGAATTATAAAGTCCCAAGCCTGAAGGCTAGGAAGTATGTAAGTGTGTAATAATAATGAACAAAATCAGTGACCACACCATGTTGACTTAGTATTTTTTAACTCCCTATTTAGCAACAAATTTAAATTTTCAATATTCCTCTTCCCCACTTCTGCTGAAAAGTAGAGAAAAAATATATAACTGACAGTGCCTCTTTAAATTTTTTTACAGTCTCTTGTAAATTTATTTTAAAAAATATATGCTTAATTTCTGAAATTGATGTTTTTCTTTACTATTTGCTTTTTTTTCCTTTTTCTTAACAGTTGGGATTTAAAATGTTCTTGGGTATTTCACCAGTGGTAACAAATTGGAGTGCAGCATCAGATGAATTTTCCTTAATACTAGACAACAATCCCATGGCAGAGTTTGCTGAGTTGCCAGAAGGACATGAAGGACTTCTTTTCTCCAACATACTGTGTGGTGTCCTGAGGGGAGCCCTTGAAATGGTAAGAGTCCAGGGGGTGTTGATATGTCCTTACGAACAGGACGACTTACATTTACTGCGGGTTTGAAACTTTCCTTCCACTTAGTGAACACTTCTCAAATTAAATTAATGGATATTGTATGGAGAAGTTACATGCTAATCACTTCTGTGAGGTAAAGGGTGAATAATGCACATGGAAAAATTAGGTGGTTCTGATTGGCTGAAAACAAGTGCATTTTCGTGTCACACATATGCAAAGTTGCAACACGAGTGCAAAGTTGTAACACTTGTGCATGCTCTCAAAATTTTGTCTGTCTCGACTATCTGTGAAATTTTTTCATGTACATCATTAACAAGTACTAGCATGATTTATCTTGCCATTTAGTGTGATTAAAGGGCTTGTGCAATTTTGTTGTCTTTGAAAATTTTACGGGAGCCTATTAACCCCAAATTGCACTTACAGTCATATTATACCATTTGCAAATAGCACCCAACTAGTATCTGGTAGGCATGGGTCTGAATCCCATCAAAGCCTGAATTTTGTCAAGCATCTTTTCTGCAGTTTCTTAAATTGTAGCTTACTTGTGAAGATCCTTGTTTTGCTTTAACTAGACCTGATAAAATTATTAGAACAAAACAATAATTGACATTTTAGGCCTGTAGTAACTAATATTACAGCTCAGTAATGAGGTCTGTCAAATTTCCTAGAAACCCCAAAATTATTGAGTTATCTCATAAATTGCTGTAAAGCCTAGTCTGTATCTCCTCGTTCTTCAAAAACTGCTGACATGGTGGAAACAAACAATCTTTTTTTGCATTATTTCCCTCTCAGGTACAAATGGAAGTTGATGTTTGGTTTGTTCATGATTCGTTAAGAGGCGACGAGACAACAGAAATTAGACTCAAGTTTATAAAGAAGTTAGAAGATGCTCTCCCCGCTGGCGAGGACTAATACTACATTTATACCATGTATAACACTCTGTATAGGAGATATTTTAAACGAAAAACTCAAACAACGATTGTCTGCTACTGAAATGTTATGCAATCCTACATTTATTAGTAGGCTTTGCGTGTTGTCACGGATGATGCAAAATTTCGGATAGGTAATTTTAATGACTTTCTTTGAACCAATGTCGAGTTGATCGTTGAAATATCGAGAAGTTTTTGGAAAACCGAAGGAACTGAAGTCGTCATTTACTTATGACTTGATGAGCTATTTTGGTGTTTAATTGTAAACTATGTTTATCACTCAACATTCAATACATCAGAAAACATCTCATTTCTCCTTTAAAACACGTAAAAAATTCTTTGATGAAATAGATGAAGGAATACTTGGGTTATTTTAAATTATTGTGGTTAAATATAAATGTTCTTTTAGAAATCAACTTATTGTTGTGAGCAGACGAGGAAAAAAAAACACTCTAGAAACAACTCGTTAAGGCCTCTTAGGCGCTTTCTAGTAGTGAAGAATTTTCCACGACGTCACTATTGCGTGCTGTAATACATATGACATTAAATTTTAAATAGCTTTGCAGGATATTTTTCGTAACTGTGTTCTGACAAATTAGTTTTTCGTAACCACAGATTCCTTAGAAGTGAACTAGTATACGTAGTATTATAAATTATGGCATATACCCCTAATTGAAAAGGAGACAGCGAGTTTAATTAGACGTCCATCACAAAATATCGAACAGTAAACATCCTTCCTCCTTCTGACAGAAAAGAGATGAAAAACATGCAAAACGGATCTATTTTGTCTAAGACTTTTGAACCTTCTGGGCAAGTAGCTAAGAATGTTAAAAAAAAAAAATTAAGAGACCACATGGAGTCTTTTGTAATTTTTGTCGGTAGTTGTCACAAACATCGTTTTTTTTTGTCAGGTGTTGCTAGGAAGTTTTCAAAATATTTCAAGAGATTTGGATAGACATTTCTGGAACAAAAGCGTTCGGAAAAATTTTAAATTATTTTCTAATCAATCATAGTACAGAGTCTAAATTAATTGTTTTCGAGATATGTAATAGGTAAATGCTTGTCCAATATATGTCTACTATGTTTTCAGTAGAATACACATTTTTTCATGAAAAGCTGTTTATAGACGGAAATAGCCAGGGGAGCTGAAATTAAATCTAGATACTTTCACATCTGTTCATGCCTAGAGACCAATCTTTGTCTTCGTTGTTTTGAACGCCTCTGCACGAAATGTTTTCTTCCAGTTGTGTTAGTGCTCTCTGCAATTGTTGCACAGCCCTTTTTCTTGTCAAGCGGATGTTTTCGTCTCGATTTGCTTCAATGCCATCCAATTCGATCAAAAGACGCGTAAGTTTTTCTTCAATAGCTAGGTACGCCTTACTCTTGCTACTTTCATCAAAAGCAAGTACTTCCTTTTCAAGCTTTTCTGCTTTCTTGAGAATACTTTGAATTATTAAAAGTTTATTTTTGCTTTCATTTTCAACTGAAAATTCCAGTGGTAATGAGTCTTCACTTTGAGACTCATCGCCTTTGTCTGTGTATTCTTTAATGTATTCCTTAAATTGTTCAGTATTGGTCTTGGTGATTTCCTCCCTAACATCTCCACCGCCGTTGAAATAAGATTTTCCCAAAGCTTCTTGGCTCGTAGCCATATCGAAGTAGTCCTTTTTGTCAAAATTAACGGCGCAAGCGTTGTCAATGTCGAGTACAGTGTAATTATCCTTCTTCATATCGACCTCTGCTTCCTTGGTAGTTTTTTCTTCAACTTGAACGCTTTCTGAGCCGCGGGCATCTTCTATTTTGCCATCTGCCTCGATCACTTTATTTTCTTTTAGAATCTCCTCTCCGTTTTCACCCCCAACTTTTACTTTCTCATCGACTTCAACCTGAATGGGAATACTGAAAGACGTCTTGGGTAGAGAGATTTTACTAATCTCTGGCGCGGAGGGCGAAGTTTCTCGTAAACTTCTGGCACTATACGTATTTCTTCTTCCCAGTCTTACAGGAAGACTTGATCCGGACAAGTAATGATCTTCAAACACCTTCTGCAAATCTCCAACAAATGGATTTTCTCTGAAAAAATGTCTTCTTTGTTCTTTTCGTTCGGTGTGATTTTGTTGTTCACAAGGCTCATCTTCACTCGATTTTTGAACTCGCTGAAAATGTTCAGGCAAACTATATTTCCACAATTTGTATTGCTGATTTTTGATGTTTCCATTTTTCCTTTGTTTCGACGAATCATCGGTGTTTTGTGTGTTTTCGTGTGCTGTCTTTGAAGATCTTTCTTTAGAAGCCTCGCACGGGTTTGAAACAGTTTCCACGACCAATTTCAGTTTCGGTCTACTGGGCAAACTCGAGGATCGAGAGAAAATGCGGGGTTTTCCCTGCTTGAACTCGGGGTGAACTGTTACCGGGATCTCTCTGCTCATAGTTAAGTCTCGACACGAGTAACTTAGTCATCTAACAAGACGTTGTAGCGATTGAAAAGACATAAGGATTAGAGATGAGTCCCAGAAGATGAGGGATTTAAAGAATGGAAAACAAATGCTCGCGGTATTGATCATGTTGATTTACTACTTGAACTTGGTCACGCATACTCAAGTTCACGCTGGGTGCACGCGCGAACATCGTTCTCGTTTTTACCAGTAAAAATTTTGCAAGTATGAAAAAGTATCTTCATCAAATAAAACTGCTTTATGATTCTTAATACTCCAATTTAGGTACCGGTTTTCTCAGCTTAGAATTTCCGTGCTCGACAGAATCTAGAACATCGATACAAATGGATCTTTCTAGAACGTTCGATCTCTCAACATTGTCAAAATATTTGTGGCAATAACTGCGATTTTAAGCGTCGTGTGGTTTGACAGAGACTGATTTCGACATTGTCAACAAAGCAAGACTAAGGTTTGATATTGTCAAAAGAAAACTTGATGATGTTACGTTTGCCCTCCGATATTCCTAACTTTTTTTCTACAACTCCCCAGACCTGCTGGTGAAAACCTGGTCATCTGATAGGCGGATTTCCTGTTTCGTGGCGTGAAGTCTGAACTTTTCGCGAATACCTGACTGAAACCTGATTCTTTCTTCCTCTCTTTGCAATTCACGCGGAGTTAAGAGCCACGAATATCACCCGATTATTGAACGAATATTACTCCTAAAATTCCGGTTTCTGCTCTTTCAACTTCGTATTGTAGCTCATTTCTTTTGTATCTTTAGTTTTTTTTTAAATGTGGTGTCTCTCTTTATTTTTCAATCTACTTCCTTTCATCGATAGCGCCCTCTCCGATAGGGTGGTATGTATTACGCATAAATGCCGCCCTGCCGGCTCTTCGCGTTACCACCACTCCCCCTCCCCGCCCCCGGTCTCTTCTTGCGTATCTGTTCAGAAAGCGTGGGGCAAAATATTGTTCAATTGTAACAAATCCCACGTTTCCTGACTGAAAATTGCATTTCCATATCAATCCAACGTTTCGAAATGTCAGGAAACTGCGGAAGATGAGAGCTCAAGGAAATGTCTATTGGAGAACGCGACGAAGGTTACTGCTAAAACCGTGATGAACCGCACTGGACTCCAGTCTTTTCGCGCGGTCATTATGGAGGTTGTCGGAACTTTCTAGCACGGCACGACGTTAACATCTTTGCCGTTAATTTTTATCGTCAACGTCACGATTTTATTATTATTTACCCTGGATAAAGGTCTGGACCCATCTGTGCAATAAAAACTTATGTAACCGGGTCGAAAACAACTAGAAGTGAATAGTTCCGTAGACGTCCACAAAACAATGGGGAAAGATTATTACAAGATCTTGGATATTCCGCGCAACGCAAGCGAAGACGAGATTAGGAAAGCTTACCGAAAGATGGCTTTGAAGTATCATCCAGACAAAAACAAAAGCACTGGAGCAGAAGACCAGTTCAAAGAAATAGCAGAAGCGTATGAAGTTCTTAGCGACCCTCAAAAAAGGGAGATATTTGATAAGTACGGTGAAGAAGGCTTGAAAGGAACTGGCAAACCTCAAGCGAGTACGACAGAGTTTAATTTTCAAATGCCGCCTGGATTTACAGCTTTTACTTTCCATGGAGACCCGATGTCCACGTTTTCAAGAGTCTTTGGACGAGACGATCCCTTTAGAGGTAGGTCTACATGCATTGAAATGTCGAGATAATATCTCAAGTTGAATATCGCTTTGAAAATTTTACATGCTAATTCAATATAACTGAAAAGTTTTGTTCGATGCAATACTATGCCTGGTCGCATTATTGGACCTCGCTGCACCTGTTATATTTAGAGTTGTATGCTATTTTACACAAAGACGTTCATTAACACGACTCAATTTTTTTTGTATAACTTTCTTCAAAATTGTTTCTCTATTTTATGCTCTATTTTTGCTAAGATGTAACGTCAATCTTCCAAATGATGAAGTGTTTTCTAAGATGATTTCGGTATGCCTTCCCCTTTCATGGTCGTTGAACTATAGAAATTAGCCTTAGTTGTTAATAAATTTTTTCTTTTGTGCCAATTAAATTTATGGACTTGTGGCTGGGGAAGGAAAATAATACCATTAGAAATAGCCCATTGTTGTTAAACAGACTGAGATAAACTGCTACTGTCATCTAAGGGGGCAATCGCATGGAAAATTAAGGGAACTTTCTAGAGTTTTTATTTTAATTGTTGATTTAGGGAAGTATTCAGAGAAGTCAGTTTAAACATTATCCCTAGCTGAAAAGCTATTGAAATTTATTTTTCTTGGAAGAAATGTTGCTTTTTGGTCTAAATTTGACATCAGTTGGAAGAAACTAGAACATTTTAAGTCAGGAAATATTCATCATTCTATACTGGAAAGTTTTTTTTTCCTTTTAAAAAAAATCTCCCTTTGTGGTATAGAGTTGCAAAATAGAAAAAATCAGTGAAAAAACTAGAACATTCTGTTTTGTTTGCAAACTCAATGAAAGCAAACATTCAAACATTGTTGTCTGGGTTTATCTCATAAAAAAAAAAATAGGCCATATTTTTCTTGCTATGGCTCAAGAACTAAAGAAGAATTAACTCATCAACATTCTTATTTCTTTAGCATGGTATTAACAGGGTCAGTTTGGATATTTTTTGCACTTAAGTTTAAGAAACTTGTGCACAAAACCGACTGATGTGCTCAATTAAGTTCAGTTTCTGGAGAACACAATTTTCCTGGTCCTAGCTGCCATTGTCAGAAAATTTTCACTGTGGTGCAAAAAATGAGAACACCTCTTTCTAGCAATGCATAGGAATTTTCTGGAAAGTCTACTTTACAACAGTGATTGTTATAAATTATTCACACTAATTTAGGTCCATTCAATACAGAATTTAAGCTATTTGTTCCTTGTGTCTGTATGATTTTTCTAGAAGCTTTTTATTCCTATTTCTAACTTTAAAAAAAACATATAGCTTAATTTATAGGGATTGAATGAACCATTTTTTCATTTGCTCTGTTTTGCATTTTCTGAAAAAGAGTAAGGGATAATTATTGAGTTGTGCAAATTGCTAATTTTTGTGTTCTGGCATTCTGAGTGTTAGTTTTGTGGCATGTTTTAAAGTTAGACTGAAGTGGTGTGCAGGTCTTTCCAGGTGGTCCTTTGATGGGGAAGTATGCTCCAGAAACCATATGATTATGATCTTTGTCAAGTGAAAGAAATTCGTAACGAAATGTAAAATTGTTTCCATATGTGCTCTAATTTGACTTTGGACACAGCCATTTTAAAAGAGAGCAGCTGATTTGCCACACAATTTTCTAAATAGCATCATCTGTAGTTGAAGTAAAGCATATATAGGACAATTTTATGTTAAGTTAATTTTCTCTTCAGATTCTCAAAATGCACTCAGTGTGCCATCCACTAATAAATTCACCTATACCTCTAAATTGCTGCAATGAAATGTAAATTTTGGAGCATACTTTTCCTTTAAATTGGAAGCCTTCAAACAGAGACTTTTGTTCCACCTTGATTGCAAGCACCTTGCTAGCCATCCAGTTCTAATTTGAAATTTCTTTCCCAGTCAAGGATGTACAGATTATTTGTTGTAGAAACTGGTACTTTTTCTAAGTGAGATGCTTTTTCATGTGTTTTCTAGGTTTTCCAAATGATGGGCCATCTAAAGTTATTCAAACACCATTATTTATTCTTCTGATGATCAAACATAATGTTTTTAAGTCATTTGTGTTTTGTTTATGGATATATTACTAATGGTGCACTCTCTACTAGGAATGTTCGATCAAGGTTTTGGCATGCAAGGTGGGGCATTTGGAGGAGGTGACTTTTCAGATATGGGAGGTTTCCATTCCAGCTTTCGTCATCAGAGTTACCCTGGCTTCAGTCGTCAGAGATCATCATCCTTTGAAGATATGCATTCCTTTGCTCGCAAAAAGGCTCAAGATCCTCCCATAGAGAAATACCTCATGGTGACTCTAGAGGAGTTGTTAACAGGAACTACCAAAAAACTGAAGATCATTAAAAAAGTTTTGAATCAAGACCGAGTGACAACTCACCCTGAAGAAAAGATTCTCACCATTGAAGTGAAAAAGGGTTGGAAGGAAGGAACAAAAATTACTTTCCCAGAAGAAGGGGACCAAAAACCACACACTGTTCCTGCTGACATTGTTTTCACAATCAAGGACAAGCCCCATGTTAATTTCAAACGAGATCAAGATAATAACATTTTGTACACTGCTCCCTTATCTCTCAGAGATGCCTTAACTGGTCATACAACAGCTTCAATGGTACCAGTTCCAACACTGGATGGACGGACTGTCAATATTCCATTAAACAATATCATTAAACCTGGGGCAAAACGCCGAATTAAAGGTGAAGGTTTGCCACTACCCAAGAGGCTGAATCAGCGAGCTGACATGATGGTGGAATTTGAAGTTGTGTTTCCAACACAACTTTCTACATCAAACATTGATTTATTAAAGAATGCTTTACCTGAGTGAGACAAGAAAACTTATTTATAAGTGATTATTTATTTATTTTTCCAATTTCACCACAAGTGGTTGAATGACATGAAAGTACTCTTTCATGGGAACTGTTTCCCCTTGTTCTTTTCATAAGAATCAGGAGTGTTCTTAACTATTTCATTCAATGTTTTTTTTCCAGTTGGGAAGAATGACAAAAAGGAAAAATGAGTGTTAAATGAAGTTTCTAAGTGTGACAAAAAACTTTTCAAGTTTGAATTTATGTGTCAAATTTCACTGTGACTGGGTAGATGACTTGTTCATTCATGATAAATGTTGTTAATGTTTGGATCACTAGAATAGCAGTGGTGGGTAATTATTTTAGTCACCCCTTAGTTTTATGTTGTCACCTTGTGGTGAGGCAGTAAGGACTAGGGTGATCATCATCAAGTTGTTCTGATTTTTCAGAGACTGTACTTTATATTATGATCATTGCTTCCAAATTTCTGCTATGTCTTGCATACACTTTGCTTTATCACTTTGCTTAGTGAGAGTGTGGAAAATTGGCTGGTGAAAATTTGAAGACCAAGTAATTAGCATGCTAATTGGGTGAAAATGATAATGTTAAAATTAATTTTTCAGCTATCAGAATGAATGATTTCGCCCTCGTCATAAATTCATAGATGATGTTGTTGACACACCAAAAAAACAAAAAACAGAAGCAGGCTGTTGGTATTGGTGTGCAGTTTGTAAATAGATAGATACCAATATGTTTGGTTGGAACTGTGGATTGATAGTAAATTATGTTTTGCTGTTAACCTACAAGAGTTAATGTAAAGCAAGTCAGGCAGAGTCCTTATGGTAGGGAATCCAAAATTTAAGTAAAAATTAATATAATTGAGTGTTAGCTCTATGGGTATACACGACAAATGTTTTATCTTTTTCCACTTGTATCAGAAATGAGTACTGAGTGTATATTTTCTTAACTTATTAGGAAAATAAAACATGCACAATTGAAATCATTTTGTAATAATTATTATCTTGGAGTATGACCATATGAAAGGACCTTCAATCACCCATGACCCATTCTGCAGTAAGGCTCTTATGAGAAAGAGATGGAGATGCTGAATTACAAATTTGAAATGAGGTTACCTGAAAAAGAAACCATTCCAGGCATGGCACGAGCTTCATTTCACTGATAAAAAGTAACCTCTTTTTGATATAAAAGAGCCACCATGATAACGGTTTTGTCCACAAATCTGCAAATTTTCCCTTGTCCTTGTGACCAGGACTCTAAGATATGTTCCCAGCTAGGATTCCTGGCTATCCATCTCTACACCATGACACCAGAATCTGTATTTTACATGTGAGAAGAGGGAACCCTGCCCTTTGGTATGGAATCAGCCTTCACTAATTGATCAACAGTTCTTTATGACAGGATGGAGTTTTGACCTTTCCACTCCCAGGGGTAACCCAAGTGTAATGTGCTGCAACTGATATCTAAGTCAGCTGCAGTCATAGATTAAATTCTAGAGAGAAGGCCACCATTCTATTAATTTTAGTATTTTTTATTTGTAATAAATATTAATATACATTTTCCATGGATGATATAACATGAAAAGGAAAGAGAATGTTTTGTACATGTTTTCTTAAGCATCTAACAACGTTCAATATTATTAATGACTAACTATCAGAAAGTTTAAATTAAGGAAGTTTTTGTTTACATTAAAAACAAACAAACAAAAAAGATGTTGATAAAGTAGGAGAGTACTACCAACCACTTTT